GTCATGGTTTCTTCAACTTGGCTTTCAGACTCTTTAGCTTTCTTGTATTTATTCATTAATTATGGTGTCAAAACACATCTCTTGGCATCAGCAGATAGTGTAATAGTTACGTTGCTGAACTCCCACGTAGTTGACCACAGTTCAAGTCCCGGACCTGGCATCTTAAAACTCACTCTGGGCATGTGTGTTGGCATGCCTAAAATCCCGAGAGGAGAACGAGGACAAGGGACTGCAGCATGGCCATACTCCCTTGGGGGTGATTTCTCGCTTTCTGTCTCTGTTTCTGTCTCTCTGGCAAGCACTGTGCCCTATAGCAAAAACCTCTCAACAAAAAATCAAAAACAAAAACAAATACAAAGAAAAAATGCATCTCTATTGCAGATGAGGCCTAGTCAGCATAAGCATTGAGAAACTGTGAAACTGTCACATTTTTTGACTAGGGTGCCTGGACTATCTCAAAGCACCCCCCCCCATGCCCTCAGGTCTCCCATACCAGGGCCAATCCTTTCTAGAGAAGGCATCTTAAATGTTTCCTCAACTTCCCTCCCATTGATTTGCTCTTGTTTTGTTTTTTTAGTTTGTTTTTTTTTCTTCAGAGAGTGAGAGAGAGAAGCACCCCCCACAGGGTCTGCACACTGTGATGTATCCCCAGTCTCAGCCAGCCCAGATCATGGGCACACCATGTATTCCCCATGTGCTCAGGAAAACCCTGGGATGCAAACCCAGGACCTTTCCCATGTAGGTCCAGTTGTGTTACCGCTGCACCACCACCTGGCCCCTGGTCTGCTATTCGAGCCTCTTCCCAGCCTCCAATTCCCCTCCTAGGATGACTGACTTGCTAAATGCACCCTTTTTCCTCAATCTGGACTATGCCCATGAAGATCTAATGAACAGGGCTGGAATTAAAATGAAGCTTTCGGCCATTCAGTAAAGACAGTTAATTTTTATAAATACGATAGCAAAATCTAATCTTTAAGTCCACTTTTATAAATACGATAGCAAAATCTAATCTTTTGAAAGATTTAGCAGTTATCTTTGAAGTCATGACAAATGTGAGTCCTTTGAGAAGTTTTATTACATGAGAGGTTAAGTCATAGAGTACACTTTGAATGTTTACGGACTATGAGGTAGATGGTTTAATATATTAACTGTTAATGATTTTTACTTTCGTGTGTTATCTTTTTTGTAAGCACTAGCATTCCTTTAAAAAGCAGTTTATTAAAATATGAGAGTAAATGGTGTGCAGGAAATAATTTTAATATACTTTTGGCAAATGAAGAATGTGTAAATTGCATAATAGCCCTTCGTCTCCTAGGAAAAATCAAGTATGCTGTGCTCATATCCACTTTAATATACATTTGGAAAATAAATTAGCAATGTATGAAAATAAATGTAACAAAAGTGGGAATTTAACTGGCAGAAGAGCTAATGGATTTTAGTGAAATGCTGAAATTGAAACATTATGAGGCTTTGCCATCTCAGAAGTTTCCCAGTCGATTCTAGACAAGAAGGTGGCCCTAGGTCAATTATTCTGATATTGATATCTGTACTGCTTATGAAGACAGTGTTCAATTTTGTACTCACCTTTTCCCCTGAGAACAGTTTTAGGTGGGTACAGTGTGAGCCCACAGGAGAGATCACTTCAGGTCTCATTTCATTGAGTCTCAATCAAAATTGCTCTTATGTTTGAGGGAACCAGCAGTTGGCATAATAGCTATGTCGCTGGACTCCCACATAGTCGACCGCGGTTCGTGTCTCGGACCCAGTGGCTTAAACTCACGCTGGGCGCGTGTGCGTGTGTGCCCAAGATCCCGAGAGGAGAATGGAGGAGAAGGGATTGCGGCGTGACCATCCCCCTGGGGGGGGGTGATTTCTCGCTTTCTGTCTCTATGTCTCTCTCT